CCACATTCATAGACATCATGCATCCAAAACTGGAGTCTGGACTAAACACACAGCTAGATTCTGGACAATTACTTCCTCAGCCCATCCTCGAGCAGCATAAAAAGAAATCAAGAGCAGGGAAAGAGAAGTCTGCCAGAGCTCAGAGATGTCTCAGTAGCTCAGAGACAGGGCTGTGATTTGGAACGTTGATTATCACACTTGTGCTTCCACACTGAATAGAGAACTCATAATTGAAGAGATTACCTTGTAGATGATGATAAGAGCACATTTTCTTCCTCTGCAGACAACATTTGTGCTGTGGCGGCCATTATGGCTGCTGCTTTTATCAGTGATTTAGAATGGAGCTGTCAAAAACTTTAAAATGCTTCTATTAAAGTAATGTGGTTTTATCTATATAAAACCTGTGAGATTTCTCAGGGAAGCCAGGTTTGGCCTCCTTTTCTAATAAGAGTATACGGCTGCGCCACAGGGCAGGGAGTTTCCCAGCCTTCGAGGAAGTCAGGCATCTGATCAGTACCAGATTGAGAATCCCTGGAGAGCTCTTTCTTGAGAGCAGAGCTGTGGATGTGTGGAAACCAGTCCTCCATTGCCATTCATGGGGATAAAGCAGTTGCTGGTTTGCAGTGAGGCGTTTTGGAGTAGCACAGGGAAGGCAAGACCCCTGCTTCTATTCCCCTGCTACATGCAGATGTGTGGATTTGATTGCAGTGTTTGCAAACGTGGCTGGATATTAAACGTTGAAAGGAAGTAGTTAGTTTTACTGTGTCGTCTTCCAGTTTATTGGCACTGGGGTTGTTATATGGAATTGGTAGTTTCAATGTTCTGCTTTTGTTGTCTCTTTTAATATAATTACAATGTATGACACTGAAACTTCCTTTTATCCAGCTGGGCATTTTCAAGCAATGTATTGATTCCTGCTATGAAAGCAGTGTTGGCTGATACTGGCTGGGAGCGATAGCTTTGAAGCGTGAGAGGAGGAGAGCCCCAGGAGATCTGCTTTACTGCCTACCTGGTAGCCAGAATAAGACCTAATAGAATAGCTTGGATACCTCCTCTGTATTTCCATTGCCTCTTTTCTTCCTTGCATTTAGCTCTTCTTTTTGGGAAAGCACTCCTTTTTTCCCTGCTTATAATCACAATGCTGTGTATTGCAAAACTGTTGGTCTTAACAAGCTGCAAATGGTTGACTCTGCTCCACATCCCAACAGAAGTGTGGCTGCAGCTGGATGCCTCTGCAGGCCAAAAGGGCAGGTCATGCTCACAGAGTTTATTTTGAGCAAGTGCCTGACTGCAATCTTTGGGGTCACAATGCATCATGGAATGTTATCACTTCTTGAGAAAACTGGAATTACTTTTACTCTTTTGAGAATTTCTGTAGTAATGCAGACAACATGGCCATAATTGTGGTGAGTAATTGCATGCTTGCTATCCAGAATTCCCACATGGATTTCATTTGGTTGCAGGATCACTGGCTTTCCACTGCCAGTGGAAGGGCAAGCAGGAGGGAGATGTGATGCTGATGGAAGCGGAGGTGGAAGCTCTTGATGTGCTTCATAGCACCTTGTTATTTAGAGCAGAGAAGCTGATTCCTGAGAATGTCCTGAAGGCAGTTCAGGAAAATTCTGCTCCTAAGTAAAAATAAGACATTCAAAACTCTTTCAGGGAGACCTTTCAATGGCCTTTCAATGTTTGAAGGGGAACTATACGAAGGAAAGGGACAGACTGTTTCCTGGGTCTGCTGGGATAGGACAAGGAGAAATAGTTTCAAGCTAAAAGAGGAGAGATGCAGGTTGGATATAAGGAAGAAGTTTTTTACACTAAAGGCAGTGAGGCAGTGGCACAGGTTGCCCACAGAGGTCAGGGCACTGGGGATCTGAGCACTGATGGAGCTGTGGGTGTCTCTTTTCATTGCCTTTAAAGATCCCTTCTAACTCAAACATTTCTGTGGTTCTAAGAGGAAAAGTAACCTGGAAAAGAAAAATACATCAAGGAAGAAGAAATAAGAAAATGAGATTGTGAGCCTCTTTTTAGTGAGGGGTGAACTGTGTAAATCTGGCATTTCTGGAGGGACCAGATCAAAATATCCGAATCAAAAAATGAGATCCAGAGTAATGATTTGGCAGGAAAACAATTTCCCAGAGTGATAATCTTCAGTCCAGAGTGATCCTTGAGAGTGGCTGCTCTCTTGGCCACTTGGTCGACACCTGTGAGAGCGGCCACTTGACCACTAGGCAATAACAGAGAGCCTAAGGAAAGAGTGAGGCTGAATGATGAAGGTCACTGAGTTGAGCAGGTACGACAGAAAGAGGTGCCAGCACTGTGTCAGTTGGTGAGAGCCAGGGCGCAAAGGGAAGAACTCAAAGTAATGCCCTCTGTAACTCATTCTGTGTTTCGCCAGAGAGTAGTTTTTTTAGACAAAGGGAATAATGACAGCAATGCTGGCTGAAATACTTGTTTCAAAGGAAAAGGTGACAGTATTTGAATAGATCAGTGGTGTTTTAACTTGCACACAAATGGGACATTTATTAAATTTCAGCTGAATGCTCATGAAGGAGCCATAGTGCTTCCAGAGACATCTGAAAAGATTCCAAAAGAATAAACATAAAAAAATAAGTTAAAATTTCAGGTTGTAAAATGGAAGAGCTATCCCCAGGGTAGGAAGAAGTATGTATTTATGGCCAAGGCAGAAAGCTGTAATGTAAAAGATTGCAAGCAAGAGAGTATCTGTTACAAGGTTCTATATGCATCAGAGGTGTTGCTCGTGATGAACATGAGTGCATATGGTAATGCAGTGGGTGTGAGAGCAGCCAAGGGAGAAACTGAGCATGTCTTCAAAGGTAACTAAGTTCTCTGATTACAGAAGCAGTTTAATTACCTGGCCATTAATGTCCCTGGTAACTTCCCCTTCTAAACCAGACAGGTCTGTGGGCTCTCTGCTTGCATGTGGCATAATGAAGAGAATGAGGTTGTCCTTTCAACACAGCAAGTATGGGAGAGAAGAAGAGGGAACCTATGGCTCCTATGGACTGAAAGGAGAATTAGATATATGTGTGTGTGTAATGATTTGTGTGTGTATATAAAGGAAACATTTTCTAAAACCAGCAGAAACAGGCGTGTAGGATTATATGCAGCAGGAAACAAACAATTTTTTGGTTAGAAAGCATATGGCAAATGCCCATAGAAATGTTCATCACAATTTGGAGTACTTCTGTCAGCAAACAAAAGCTTCCTTTTATTTTTGTCAGCAATGTGGATTATTATTGGCAACCTGAAGGGTCAGAATAAGACTCTGCATATAGTCTGTTAGCGAGCAGTGTCCCAGAAGGCAAACTGCAACTCTACAGCTGAGCTGAGCTTGAGGTTGAAGTTAAACACACTTTTGCTTAAAGCTACCACTAAATCCTCAATGGTGAGTCCTTGTTGCTGGGAAACGTGTTTATCGTCTTAGAAATCAGCAAAGAAATACTAGAGAAGTTTAAAATATTCTATGAAAACCTCCAATGAACAGTAGGATTGAGGAGAGTCTTCCAAAGTGCTGCGGGGACGTCACTGAAGGCTGTGTCCATATGTCTGGGTGCTCCTGCTCCATTAGCAAATGTGAATACCATCCTGCATAAGGACAGCTTAATAGCAAGCAGTTCATCCATCGGTCATATTGGTAACGATGATTTGCCTTTGGGCCTGGCAGTGGGAGCTGCCCTGCTGTGCTGATTGCTTCTGTCTCAGCACTGAGCATGCCAAGTACCTGCAGCCCTGAAGTAGCAATGCATTCCGAAACATGAACTAGGTTTTGTTTTGCCTCCTGCCTGTGGAAGGTGCCAGAACTTTGCTCCCCGCAGAAGCGCTGATGAACCATTGCTATGCGAGATAATTTGCAGAGCAGCCTTTCTGCAGAAATGAGCCTGCAAAAGCAGGGACGCGGATCTGCTGCTGGCTGCCTCCGGTCTTCTAATCGATCTCCCCTGTCCAAGTAAACAAAGGAGCAGCCTGACACAGGCAGGTGAGGGCAGCGCTGTGAATATCCTGACAAAAAGTGAAATGACTGCAGCGCTATCTCTCTTTGTCAAAGGGGTGAGCGGTGTTAAGCAGGCACTAAACCTGCCACGGCTGTAGCAGCGTTGAACTAAAGGGCTTTGTTAACTGTCTTTGGAAAAGAAAAAAACAACACAGTGTGCATTTGAATGCAACCTCCTTGAGCCTGGAAATAGCAAGCTAGAAATGACAAGGTTGCTATTACATATCATACAAGGCAAAGGCTTAGCATGAATCGAAAAGGATTAGGATTTCATGGAGCTCGAAAGAGTATCGAGAGTTGATTCCTGAAACAAAAGTGAATTGGGAGAGAGATGAAGCCACCTACCCGCATATGCTGCTCTGTAAGTCAGCCTTTAAGTGATGCAAGGTAGGAGGAGACTTGCCAGCAGGAATCATGGCCAAAAACTTTTTCATTCCGGGATGTATCATAAAAAGAGATGTGAGGCAGGGCCAAAACTAGGAGCACTCTTAAAAGTTATGGGAATCTTTTTCGGTCATCTGAACTGGTTCCTGCACCTTGAAACTGTCCAAAACAGAGCCGATAGCATTGCTTTCTGTGGATGCTCCCCTCTACTAAAATCATCCCTTGGCCAAGCGAAGTTTTCATGTTTCACCTTGGTGGCTGGAATGGAGGGAATATTCAGTACATTAAAAATCTGTTACTGATTGGATCTTGTAGTAGGTAACTTCGTTACCCAAAGCGTGGCATGACTGAGCTCTGTTCTGACTTTCCCAAAGGTGTAATCCTGCTAAAGGAATAGAGCAAATGAACCAGCACTTTACCTTCAAAGCAGCTTACAGCAGCCATAGACAGTCATTGATGTGCCAAGAGCTGTTTTGCTATCTCACCCTAGTGTAACAGTGTTTTTGTTATTTTGCTTTGTTTTTTCACTGTTGGAAACACTCTTTATGTTTAAGGATCTTGGGACTCTAGTCTTACCTTCCTCTCTCCCCTCTCCTCCCAGTGTCTATCAACTCGTTGTCAAGGAGGAGAAGCTGCAGAAAGCTCGCAGAGCTGCAGACATCATTGAATGCTTCTCCATCCCAGTGAGCTACAAGAACGCCTCCAGCCTTGACTCACCTCACTACTTTGCAGCCGAGCTGAAGCCCATCAACCTGCCCGTCACACAGCCCTTCACCGTGGGCGACAACAAGACCTACAATGGCTACTGGAATGCTCCTCTTTCTCCCCTGAAAAGCTACAGCATATACTTTCAGGCTCTTAGCAAGGCAAACGGCGTAAGTGCAGAGAATATTGTCTGTATCTGTACACATGACAACCTCCAGCCTCCCTGTCTTTCTCCTTCCTCCTCCATCAGATGCCAGTTTAATTGCCGATTATCACTTTCTTGCAGAAATTTGAGGGAAGTTATACGTGCCACTACTTGTCCTTCACTCAACTTTTTCTGCAGATGCAATGGAAAGCCTGCTGGAGTGCCAAGTGATGGAAAGGGCATATGTTGGCACACGATGTATGAAGTAGATTGTTTATGATCTTTTTCCTTGCATTAATGTCAGAGTAGAGGCTGTTGTCCTTTTAAGATGTAGCTGCTACATCCTTGCAGTCGTCAGTTCACAGTGATTTTAGAGGAGAGATGAGATGAGAGCTACCAAAAGCTATTAAATTGGATTACTTTGTGGCCTCCTTTTGGTCATGCTGTAGTTTAGCAGTTATTGTTGAGATTTTCACCTTGAACAAAATGTAAGTTTTACCGTAAAGGGAACTTTGTGCCTGTCTTTCTTACTCCTTTTGGATATCGTAGACTTTATTTTCAACGTATAGTTATTTTGTAATATTAAGTGTGTGATGTTAAAACTGTGTGGGAAACATAGTCCGCCCCTTTTTGAGAGTCAAATGTCACACACATCATGCCCAACAGATCCATTCATAGGAAACTGAAGGCCTCTTTTCCCTCATAAATTCTTCTGGAAAGTGGTTTGTGACCTATGACCTCATGCTGCAGATGTGTTCAGCTAGCAGCATGCAGGCCAGATCCAATCTAAGCAGTCATTCAGCTGCATCCCCTCTGGCTCCCCCAGTAGCTTTTGGTTATCACAGACATGTTACAGGTTACCACTCCAGCCTCCTGAGGAGACTTGTAGCATTAATACACAGTGAAGAAGTTGGGCAGACAGGGATGTTTTTATTACATTTACCAATGCTTTCCTGAATCCAACTTTTACATGGGTAAGCTCTCTAATACATCACCTCTGAAAGAACAAAATTAGAAAAATCAATCAAAGATGAATGGTAAAGGCTTCGGTCTCCACTTGGGATAATGACTTTGATACCCAAAACACAGGCGTGCATCACAGAGGACTGTGCGTCCTTTAACAGGCTGGCAATGCCAGTGAAGGTTCTCAACATGTCATGCTGTTTTACTGCCTTCATTTATCACCATTCTGCAGAGTATCAGCTGTGTGGCTGACAAGCACAAATCTCTTCGGTACTGTGCTGCTTTTCACCTTGGTTTCCCTTCTAGTTGGTACAGTTTCCATTCAGCACTCATCAATTAATTCAATTTTAGATTCGCTTCTATGAAGGAAATTGTGAAATATATGTGTCTGTCTCTGTGTTTCTAGTTAGTTCCCCCTTATGTGATAGTTAATTGCTAGCGAATGGATCCCTAAGGATGAAAAAAACTTTTATTTGCTCGAGTACAATCTAATGTGCCATAACAGGGTAATAAGAATGGAAATGTAGGCTTCCCTTGGCATTCTGGAGTGAGGCAGCAGTAATGTACAGCTCTTGCTTTTTCTAGAATTCTGTAGCTGACAGGTTGCTCCACACTCAAAAAAGTCCATAATACTTGGGCTGCTCAGATAGGAAACTAAAAGACCTTTCAGGAAGAAGTAATCCAAAAAGTCTGTATGCAGCTTGTGAAGGCATGAGAAGCATCAAGTTCATGTCTGAGCAAGCAAATGCCTTTTGTGTTAATAATTTACATCAGTACATTATATGGTGATGTATCCTCAAAGTGCAGTGCTGCTGGAAAAAGACATAGGTGAATTGTCCAAGAGCAGAATATGGATCTTAAGTGAGTAGCTGTGGAACTTGTTTTGCCCTGATAGAGTCCTTGAGGCACTCATTTAAAATGTTAGGATCTGATTTGCGTCTGATGTTTTGCAGCTGTAAATGTTTTCTTTCATACCCAGAACTGTTTGCAAGTATAATTTGTTTTTAAGAGTTCTGGGTGTTCACTTTTATCAACAGCCTGAGGCGGTTTGGTGGTCTTCATAAAGCCTACCAAAAATTATGGCTGCAGGAAGGCATTTTTAGATAACGCACATCTGCAAAATATCTGAGACAGTAACAATTTAGCACAGTTAAAATCCAGCCTTATGTTCCTTTGCACATGAAAAACTTAACAGAGCATCGCAGCTCATTTTTTAATTAGGATATTCTATAGTTTCATTAATCACTGACAGATCTGGAACGATAAAACTTCTCTTGCACACCTGGAACTTGCAATGAGAAGCCGTCGTGCAGTGAACCGTAACATCTTCCTTTGGAAATGGAGGGCTCCAGGGGGAGCTTAATTTGAGGAAACATTCTGTGTTTGGTCAAAAAGCTTGATTAGGAGGAGATGGTGGTGGTAGAGGAATTCTGCATTGTTATTTTACATCTCCTCTGTGTGTGGAGGGTTGTGCTCATTTGGTGTTCTTGTCGGCTCTGTAACCATTAGCCATGATTGTTGCATTGAAAGGGACATAATTAACAGCTGGATGCAAAACAAGTGCAGCAAATTGCTGCAAAATCAGATCTCGAGCTTTGCTGCCTTCTTGCGTGCAGTGTGGTGCTTGTTTTTTGACAGCTGTCGCTCTCTGAGTTCTGTGGGCAGTTGTGTGAAGCTTGGGCAGCCTGTTGCTGCTTCCAGACAAGGGTCTGAACAGAACATTTTGTTGTGCAAAACGCTTCCAAACTCTGCGGGTTTTCCTCCTAGGAACAATTGAAAGCCAGATGCTCAACTGCCAGGTGTCCACGATCCAAAGGGGTTGGGGGGGGGGGAAGAGAGAAAAAGAAAACAGAAACTCTAGGCTTTATAACAGGGCACTTGAGAAACACAATTAGCTACTGATCATTTGTTAGGGACAGTTAGTGCAAGAACTGACAGAGGGAAGAGCAGACAACTGGCTTTGCTGTGTTCTGGCAGGAGCTGCGTGCCTGCCATCCCAGCCTGGTAGCTAAGTGATGTTTGCTGGTTGTCCTGGTGCCACCTGCTACAGATGGCTGCTGGCAGAGCACGATGCTTTCCCGGCCTGTAAAACCACCCTGAGCTCAGCCTCTCTGATGCACAGCCCTGTGGTGCTTCTTCTGAAAGGTACGGCCTGGGCAGCGATATTATGCAGAATTAATAATCAGAGTTAAATGTCACAGATTTTGCTGTCCCCAGGTTCTTTGTCTGAGCCATTGATGGTGTTGGTGCCCAGTTAGAGATCCAGCAAACACGCTCAGGTGGGGAGAATTCCTTGGCTCCTGGGGTGCTGCTGCCTGAACTTCTGAGCAGCTCAGGAAACAGAGCTTCCTAGAAATCTTTCCTGTAGCTCTGGTGCTTTACGTCATTGAGTTAAAATGAAATCTATATTGGCACAGTTGCAATCAATAACCCTTGGCCATTTTTCCTCTAAATGGGAGATGAGGCAGGAGGCTTTGTAGCACAGCTGGAGATGATGTGGGGGATGCTGTCAGCTGCTCCTGCAGCCTGGTGGTCCAACAGGTGAATGATGTGTTCAGGCCAGCTTTGTGAAAAGTGGCAGCACAGGAATCAATGAGAATATTATTTTTGAAGGAATGATGGACTCTACAGAGTTTCTCATTGATTTTTTTTTCCACTCTAATGACTTGTACTACATGCACAATCGGGCAGCTTATCATTATCAGGGGATTTCAGGCTGGATTCCTGGTTGCTAACAGGTCTACTCACATACTTAAGGAAGATTTTGGAGGTATGGGCAGAGCTGCCAGTAGGAAAATGACCTTCATCCTTGTGGAGATGGCTCACAAAGAGCCAGCGAGGTACTTCACTTCAGCACAAGGCCTATTCTGAAAACCAGTGTGCTACTAAATATGCCTACATTGGTTTTGCAAACAGACAGCTGTGAGGACTCAGTGTTCTGTGATTTCAGCTGTACCATTTTGTCCAGTGATGTTTACTGCCTCTTACTGTCATGCTGGAGCTCCTGGGGCAGCAGTAAAGCAGCTGTGGATACACTTCACTCTTTGTAAGTCCTTGTTTCCACATTTGTTTGGCCTTCCTGAGCCAGAAGACACGAAGCTGAGTGTTGGTAGTCTTATTCATTGTATGAATAAGATCGTCTAGTCATCCTCGAGTTTGGGAGATGTGGATACTGAATAAACTAAATATCCTTGAAATCACTTTCTGTTGTAAATAATAAAAGCCCAAACCACTTTGTTAAAGCTCACTTCTCCAGATAACACAGATACTAAAAATAACTGATAATTGGAAAGTCAATACGGGGTTTAGCTGAGCCTCCTGGAGAACTAGCAGTTTCCTTGAGCTGGCAGTAGAAATTACAGGGGAGTCCATAGACTCTGCACACTCTGTGCATGTGATTAATTTTAAGGACAGCAAACAATTGGTCTCAGTGGAATAAGAAAGAGACACATGGGAAAAACTGAAGAAGAACAACGGAAAGGTTCAGAGGATGGAAGGGCAGTGCCTGTCCCATGGGATCAAGCTGCCTACAAGCGTGCTCGATACAGGCTTGGGACATGGAGTGCTGTGGCTGAGGCCAAGTAGGAGGTTGGTAATTACCTGTCTGTGCAGCAGCAGGAGTTAAAACTGCCTGTCCCCAGGTGGGGCTGTCTGGAGACCTGTGGCAGGGTGGCACCTGGGGGCAACAGGTATGTGCAGGTGCTGGCAGGGACTGCTTCAGCCAAGGAATGCACTGTTGAGCTAATGCAGGGTCATAATCAGAGCCAAAGAAAGGGAAAGGAAAAAAAACGGTGTGAAAACAGATGGATGAAAAAGCTCTGCTTATTTTATTGTTTATAGTCTGTAAACAGCAAGCTGTCATTTTAAAATAAAAGGAAAAAAAATCATTTGGCCTTTTAGGTTGTGAAGATGCAGCTGTCACATAAACATATGTCCTTCTGCCCTCATAGATCTTTCCTGCAGAAAGTTGTTCTCATCCAAGTACTAAAACAAAGGCAGAACTTGTCTTGTTATCATCCTGTGCACTTCAGTGAAATGCATATTTTGGAGTCTAAATAATTAGTAGATGGCATCAGCTCTCCTTCTTTGAAAAGGAAAGAAACAAACCATATTGAAAAGAATGAGAATTCAGTGTGATGCCAGAATAAGCTCCTGGCATGTGGATGTGGGTCTGAAATGAAACAGTTGTCCAGTTCCAGGATCTAGGTTAAAACATCCCTATGTTGTTCCCTTACTGCTTGCACATATCCTGTCTGTGATAGCATAGCCTGGCAGTGCCCAGAGCATGAAGCAGCAGTGGTTCTGGGACCTTACATTGGGTTATTTGTGTGCCTGCAGCTGTAGCACAAAGCAAGCATCTTACTGCAGCTGGTGGGAGCAGGGTCTTGGCTGTGGTTGGGTTTGGGAAAGTTCTGTGATGGGATTGAATGGGATTAGTGTATCAGAGTACTTGAAAGAGCCTATGGATACAATCAGGAGGCTGAAATTTAGGAAACTATTTTTATAAAAGTTTTTTGCTATTCCTTTGTTTCATTATTTTTCTTGTAATGCCTTCAAGCCATCTGTGTATGTTATTTATTCCTCTTTTGCCATTGGTTAAGCAGAAGCATCTTTACTCTGGTGAGCGCCTCATGTAAATCCAGGAGAGTTTTTTCAGAAAGCAGATGTGATTATAGGCAAATGGTTTCACTGTTTTGAGAAGAAAAAGAATTGTTCTGTGTATTGACAAAGGAGTTCAGACAAACAATTCTCAGTATTAATCAAAGAAAAATACAGTAAGTGGAAGGAGGTCTCATTTTTTGTGAGACATGAAAGAGAGGAGCAGTGGGTTGATCAATGAGGTGCTCAATGGAAATCAAAGCAATAATCAGCCCTCATCAGGAGTACGGACTGAGAACAGACTTCAGGCTCCAACATCTCTGGTAGCTGATGCCTGGTGGCTGTGCAGGTTTCTTTTATGTTTTTCTCCTTAGAAGACACCATTTGAAATTAAGTCCAGATGTCTTGTTCCTCTGGTGATTGATTGCCCTTGCTTTTGGCAGTGCCTGATCACTGTCTTCTAATAACTACAATTGTCCGGGCTAAATAAGTAGATGTAAATGCAAACAGAACACACTGCATCCTGTCTTCTCAAATTACCCCGTGGGAGGGCAACGTGCAGGAATATGCACATGCTCAAATGAGATCAATTACAGCATTGTTAACAAGGTTTTGGGTTTTGTTTTGTCACCTCTTCTCAGCACTGACTAATTTCTCCAGCCTTTTGTTGCACTTTGAAGCTAGCAGAAAGCAACAGATGCACAAGAAAATTTTCCACAAGTGTGTGCAATGTGTGCCAGTGTCCACCTACTTTTAGCCTGCAGCAGTACTATCTTGATATCAATTATATTTCATTCGTCATTGCTGATTTTCCAGGCCATCTTTGCGTAGATTGTGAAGTGCATCAGATGTCTTCTGACTCCCTGCATTATCTGCTGAGGCTGTGCTCTGAAAATAAGACTATGTTTTTCCTGCTTTATATAACATCACTAGTAATAGAGATTGTTGGTTTCCAGAATAGCTGGCAATTCAGGCTGATTATACAGGAGGTAGTGATGGCTGTGCAGCAGTGCTCTGCAGCTCTGTTGGCTTTGCAGTGCCAGCAGTTGTACAAGATGTGCAGAGCCACTCTGTGAGCGAGAAAAGTTTGTGAACCAAAGAGAGATACCTTGGGTTTACTGGAATAAGGAATAGTTTAGTTAATGAGTGCATGATAAGGGAGCAGGGGGAACTGGTGCTGCATTTTCCTGTGCAGTGTCTGCAGTTTTCCCCTTCCTGTTTGCAGTTGAGGGTCGGTTGCAGATTTTCTTTACAGCCTCTGTTGAACTGCTTGAGGATGGAGCAAGGTGTTCAGCAGTGTATTTGTTGTTTCCAGAGCCAGGCAGCATCCATATTAATGTGGCATTATCACACGCAGTAATTTATGCAGTATTCATTACACCTGAGACATGCACAAGAGCATGTAAAGTCATAAAGTGCTAAGAACACCCTGCAGCAGATTACTGCCTGACAAAGTTTGTTAACCAAAGGAACACAGAAGATTTGGATGATGATCACGCATCGTGCAGAAGCAACCCCTGCCAGTAAGAGCTGCAGAATGAAAACGTGGGGATACCAGAAAGGGTTTGTTTTCAGTGGAAGTGGCCTGAGGAGGATGCCTTTAGCTAAGCCAAATAACACAGTGCTGCTGCTCAGCTCCAAACTCCTGTTTACACAGATCTGGGGACTCTGAGGTGCACTGAACAAAAGCGTTGGGTTTTATCCCAGCTCTGCAATGAAAAGCCGTGGTGCTCAGGGTTGTGTTTGAATGGCTCATTTGGCAGAAGTAGCCATACAACATGCTGTTCTGCTTCACATACATATCAGAGGGCTGAAATATTCAAATGACTGCTTAGGTGTCTGTTTGCCATGTGTTTAAATAAATACCCAATTTGCAAAATTTGTGGTAATGGTGCGTGAAAATTGGATGTACAGTTGCGTGTACTTTTGACCCAATGCTTGTCTGCCTACTACAGATCAGGCCATTTAGCTGGTAAATTCTATTAGTAAATCAGGCCGTTACGTGGTGCCCATTCCTCACATTGAGTATGGAAAAACATCCAACTTCCCAGCAGTCAGGCAAGCAGCTGCATGCAAACCCATTAGTATGGAGTGTTCTATGCCATTCAAACGGTTGGTGGTACTTTCAGTGATGAAGTGTAAGAAAAATGCTTATGTGTTTTAGTGACTCTTGATGAGAAATATGTTTAATATGTTTATTGCAGATAGGCCAATGACACACCTTGATGTTTTCTTTTTCTCTCTCTCTCTTTTTTTTTTTTTTTGGTTGATTTTCAGGAAACAAAAATCAACTGCGTCCGGCTGGCAACTAAAGGTATGTGGGTTTCCTTTCCCTGCAAAGCACAGCACCAGAACTATGAAAGCTGCAGTGGTGACACAACTAGATTACAACTACTACTCAGGGAAGAAGCTTCTTTTCAAAAAGTTTTATATTTTAAGGAAAATATCAAAGGCAGAATGTCAGTTTCCAGAACCACTTCACTATATGCGTAGGCCCTGTTATTTCTCAAGACAGGGTCTCTCTCTCTTTGTGGTTCCTGTTTTCACTTGTTCTATCAACTGCTTTCCTGCCCTGAAGACTGCTCTTGTTATTGGCAGAATGTGATTGAAAAAGCTTCCTGCTAAGTTCATTCTCTCCGTAACTACACAGTGCAGATAAGTTAAAGGAGATCTCACGCAAACCTGACTTTTAAGTGGGTTTTGAAAAACCTGACCTTCAACACATTGGGGCACAGTTCTTACATGACACCATTTTCATGATATGGTGCAGTGAACTCGTGGAGAATATTTCTTATTTTCATCGCATTAAGTTCAGAATAGACCTAGCATCATCACGAGCAAACCCAATACAAATGATTCAGCAATACGTTAAGACGCATTGCTTTGATCCCCAGGTCGTTTCACAAGATGTAGCTCTTGGGGAACCAATGGTGACAATGTCTGGGTTACTTCTTGGAGTTTACTGTTGCTTTTAACAACTCTTCGAAGGACTTCGAAGTCACCCCAGAGGATACTTTGCCAGCAAAGGTGTCAGTAAAGCAATTTACTCCTAACACAAACCGAGTAGCTGTAAAAAGGCTTCCTCAACACATACCTGGTCTTAAAATGAGTTGTAAGGAAATGCTAAGGTAATTGCTGTGGGCCATGCTGGAGGTAACGCTCCTTTTCTAACCCTCAGGAATGCATCCTGTGCCCTTGCTGCTTTGTTGTAACGTGGAATAACTCCATTACTGCCTATGGAGTCTTCCTGAAGTTGAAAAGAAATGGGGGGCTCTTTTTCTTTAAGAAGCATCACCCTGTTTTGTTTTGTTTTTCTTTTTTTCCCATTCTTTTTAGTCCTTTCTGTTTTGCAGCAGTAGCAGAAATTAATTCCTTCTAGGTAATTTTTCATGTGCGCTTCTGCTACAGCACTTACTGAGGAGCTGGGGGGATGAAAGAAGCCCCAGCTAGCAGTTACTAGGTAGCAGCAGAGGACTCTTTTTGCCCCTATGTGAAGACATCTCCAGAAGTGTTACTGTCAGCAGGGTGTGAGGTGCAGGTGCTGCACTGCCTGCAGCTGCCGTCAGAGAGCTGGTGCTGCAGGCTGGCAGGGCTGTAAGCAGTTGTGTCACCACTGACAGCCAAGGATGAGCCATTTGTCCCCTCTCCCCTTCATCTGTGGCTCTGGTGGACCCTATATCCTCCCGTTGTTTCCTCTTTAAGTGTTCCTTGTAATATCTTCGTTTAATTCGTTGCTCTGGGTTGCAAACATTCTGTGTCTCAGTCTCCCGTCGGTTCCCCTGCAGTTTTCCTGGCCCATGGGTAGTGGTGTGACCATTGCAAATTTATCTTCCTTCGGCCTTCTGGTGGTAGAAAGATATAAAGAGCAGGAGTGGGTGAAGTTTGGGTGAAATGATTCTCCTCTGGGTCTTCCCAGAGTGTGACTGGAGGGCTCTTCATCAGCTCGGAGAAATTAGACTGATTCATTTCTGGAGTCCTATAGTTTCTTGTACTTTAGTGGTTCCTATTTCTGGAGATAGTGGAGGAATGTGAGTTAGTTGTTGTTCTAACTAAAAATATATTTGCTCTGTGATTATTGTTCGAATAAAAACACCTGTATAGTTTGAAAAGTCCTATTCTTCTGTGTTCTCTTGATTTGCACTGCCTGATTTGAGTACTGCTGGAAAGACTCACATAAGTGTTTGACCCCGAGCTGCCTTCTGCAAATGGATTTAATTTTTGTTAACCTGTTGGGTCACCAAGAAGAAGTGACAGGCTGCCTTTACTCTGATGTTCTGAACTCCAGCTCCTTTTAAAAAGTGACCTTTTCCTAATACTAATTTGACAAGAGAAATCAGAGAGATGGGTAAAGCCTGGGGATGCTTAGAGCTTTTTGGTGATCTTATAGTTTAGGATTTTTCTTGATTGATATGAATGGGAAAGGGAAAAAAAAAAATAAAATTATGGTAGCACTAGTGTTTATTACTGTTTTGATGGATATTGCTTTTGATTTATAAGTATGTCTTGTTTCTGTATACATGGACTCTGGAAATCCTGTTTTTCTTATTTTTTTTTTTTTTTTTTCCTTGTCCTTACTCTGTGATTTGCTGTTTTGTATTTCTCAATGCCTGACCATTGACAAGGACACTGGAATGTGGCTGTGGCTAGCTTCATGCCAATTTTGGCTTTTTAATTGTACAGTATTGGCTGCAGCACACAAGCAGCGTAGAACCACAAGTGAATTTACAGTCTTAATAGTTTAACGGTCCATTAACAGTCCATTGCTGGCACCTGTGATGTATGGGCAGCTGAACCAAAGCTAAACAGTGGTTCTGTGGTTTGGAAATTTTCCATAGTTGAAGATCTCTCTTTGTCGTAGGGCTGAATTCCATCCACATTAACTCCATGTGGACAGAAGGACTCAGCCACTCTACATCCATCTGAGCACCTGTAGAGGGGTTTCTTATCTGCCCCATCTCTGCTGGGGTGGAAATAAATGGAGACAGTCACAAATCTGTAATAATGTTGTGATGTGGCCAACAACTGATTGTTGGGATGTTCTGTCTGATCTATTGTGTCTGTGTCATCTTCTGTCTACTCATTAGATTGATTATCTTTAGTGGCATTGCCATGTATTTGTCTTTATTTGCATTGTTGTCTTTCTGAGGATAGAAAGAGCAAGGCTGCAGTGTGCCTCCAACAGAATGTTCCGAGCTGCTAGCAGGGATACCAGTGTGGTGTCCTCCGTAACAAGCAAGGAGAATGAATGTCTTGGAGTTAGGCTGAAGTTAGCTAGGCTGATCTGAGCATTGACAGCTCTCAAGCTGCAGTTTGTACCAGAGAGAAAGTGCATTTTGTTTTGCAGATTGATGCAAAAAAAAAGTGAATGCATACTGCTAGTGCCAGAGAAAAAGTTCATTTCTGGCTATTGGTGTAATTTTGTTCCATTCCTGGATACATGACACTCCAGTAGCTCCGTTAATGTCAGTGAAATGAGTTCTGATTTACGCCAGTAGCAGGGAGATTAGAATTGAGGAATGTTTAAGCAAGGCAAGTGTTCTCTTCAAGTACTGGATTAACAAGGGCAGTAAACGTGAGTGTGGGAGTAATTAAGCAATAAAATGTGTTAGGCAGTGTGGTACTGGGGGATTATAGCACATCTTGGGTGTTGCTGCAAGGCACCTGCTCAGAAGCTGCGTAGCTCTAATTACTTGTCACTGCTTCAGCAGGCTGGGAGGCAATTTGTTTTGTATGTCCCATTGCCTGAAAACCAATAAAGTGAACTCAGATAACTCTTTTAGAAGTGTTCTAGTCCATAAAGAGTTTTGGACATTTCTCAGCTTGCTCTCCTCCCCTTTTGTGTTGCTGAGACCTCAGCTTCATTATGAAGTAGACTTCAGATAACCCCTTGTCATTTCAGCTTCCCTCCATTCAGAAGCTGCATCTCATCTGCCACGTGCACTTTTCTGCACGTTTCTCCTGCCTGCTGCTCCTGCTCAGGTTACCTTGGTCCTTTTGGTCCCAAGAGAGACCTTTGTCAACGGTTTGCCTCTCTGATGTTCATCTTTTGGCTGAAATGTCAGGGGTGGGTTTCAGCATCTCAGAACAGAAGGTCATGACACCAAGTACAGCAGCCTTCAGAGCAGAGCTAGTAGATACCCACGTGGGCAAGTGCATCTGCTGAGCACATTTCCTTCCTTCTGGCACCTCAGTAGGGGGCTTGACTAATGTCCATGGGCCAACGGCAAGGACTTGGCACCAGCATTTGCTGAGGTCATGTTTTGCAATCCATCAGAAAGCAGTCTGCGTTTGTCCAGTCTGTGTAGCCATTCCCTCTTTTGCCAGCATGTTTCATATCCACATTATTAACCTTTTGTATCGACGTGTGTATTTATTTCCAGTTTTGTTGGTCTCAGATTTCCGACCATTCCCAGTCATAACCACCTCTCCTCGGATGGTCTGCTTCTCTTCTTAAGTTACTGAAGTAATGTCATCTTTCATAGCATTACTTGCTTGGATGCATATCATAGCATTAGGCATTCTTTAAAAATAAGTTTATTATTCTGTTTATCAGCTCTCTGCCATACAGTTTTCACTCAGCCAGTTCGTTTGTTAATTCTGCCATTTGGTTTCCATGATGGCATTTGCTTTAATGTGTCCCATTCTTTCTGAAATAACTTGGTTGTTCTCCTTGTTTTAAAGCAACATATTTATATTGACACTTTATTAGAGAAAATTGCAACCTCTTACTAGAGAGAGCAATTACCTCTTGTATTCTTAAAGTGCATTAAATTATTTTCACGGTGTAATTGAAACCGAGGCAGAGGGCTCATTAATGCTTCCTTATCTCTTGATATTTATTTCTTCTTTTTCTAAAAAATGTGAGTTCTTGCAAATGAAAGAATGGAACTTTAATAACCATTACGAGGTACATTTTTATTTTTTTTTCCTTTTGTTTTTCTTGTGCATGCTGCCTGGAAACGGTTTTGCTTGTTCTTAGCAGTGCTGGGTAGGCAACAGGCGACCACACGAAACCCACCCGGCCTCCTGAGCACAGGTGATTATCAGCTCAGGTCCAGGAAGACTTCTGCCACTTCCAGAAGTCTGAGCAGCTTCATGACTTCTCTTTTTGTGTTTTGCTTGCGTGGGAAAATGCTTTTACAGCTGTTCAAACTGCAATATAGAGGGGACTTTCACATAGCAATTGCTTTGCACTGACGTAAAATGTACAGCTTAGCAGAGGGTTGTATGGAGACCTAAGGAGCACTTTAATCTCCATATGAACCTCTGAGCGTGACTGAAGAGGCCTGTGGATTCCTTGTTGGCCCTCTGCAG